TTGCCACGTTTCATAAGTTCAGATTTCAATAAAGCTGCAGTATGACAGTATAGCTAGCAAGCTAGAAGCTGTGTACTAAAATATTAAAATATTTAAAAAAAATGAATTTGTTCATATTTATAATTATATTAGTTTTATATTTTCTATTTTGTGTTACAACGAATTTGGAGATATTTTATTATATTTCAGAAATACTGATAATACCATATGATTTGATTGGATTGTGGTGTATAACACGGAACGTGTGGCTCAAGTGGATCTTGTTTTACATATTTAAAATTATATTAACAATTTTGTGTCTTCTATTTGTTATATCTGTTGTTACACTATATTGGCCGACATATCAGATCATATTATATATTTGGATTATCTGGTGGATAATGCGGAGCTTCGTGCGAGTTATCTGGTGATAATTCTCACATCGACGAGAGACAATATATAGAAAGGCGAATAATTCTCGCCATTTGACTCATGTTTCTCTCTACTGATTTTGAAAATCTGCAGTATATAGGTGCATATATTCATCATCATTCGCGCTGATAGCCGATTGACAAGACACGACGTCGCAATTATCCAAATAGATTTTCCTCCGCTGTATAATAATATGATAACAAAATATTCTATAACGTTCATCTAAATATATCAAAGTGCAATGATGCACATTTAGTACCGCAGAAGAAGGCATTACATTATGTTTTCTAAAGTTAAAAATATACAGGAGATATCATTGGAAATATCACACAGGAAATGTCACGTACTGCGTGGTTAGCACGTCTCTTATAATACTTAATATTCCGTTAAAGCTAGTAGTATAGCAGTAGCTACCAAGCTAAAAACTGCGTACTAAGATATCTAAAATATGATATTAAAATATTTAGTCAAATTTATGATCAAAATTATATTATTTCTTTTCTGTGTTACAATTTGTAAATGTCATGGTCTCATCTCAATAATTGTTTTGATTGTATTCTCGTGGATGAAACGGCAGTGGAGTTTGAATTTCATAGTCGACACTACATTAATAGTTTATTGTTGTCTACTTGGTGTTTTAATATATTGGGAGTTATATAATATCATAGAGAATATCATAGAATATTCTACTTGTATCTTCTTAATAACGTGGGGTCTACATCAACTCGTCCAGTGGTGATTTTCACTCGCTTGGCGTTCTGCAGGTGCAAGCCGAACTGCAGAACTCGTTTCTGAAGAGAATGATCTTCAACATGGGCATGCGGGCGAAGGAGACGGAGATCAAGAAGAGCATTGTGAGGATGAATAGCATATGGGACAAGATCGTGTTCAAGAAGATCCAGGAGTCGATGGGCGGCAGGCTGAGGCTGATGCTCGTGGGTTCCGCGCCGCTGGCGGGGAGCGTCCTCACGTTCACCAGGTGCGCCCTTGGCTGCGTCGTGGTCGAGGGCTACGGCCAAACGGAGTGCACCGCGCCAATAACGCTCACCATCCAGGTAATTGTTTAATCAATCGCCGGAACTGTGGGCGCGATTTTACGGCCGGCCCGTATAAATATCTCCCACGCTTCGGTTCCACGAAGCTTTCAAGTCGATTAATTGGACAGTATGGGGTCGCGATATCGTCTAACGCGAGTCTTTGTGTACTTTGGACCTTTATATCCTGCCCTTTCATCATCCTACATTTCTCGCGCTCTTGTTACGTATTTCATTTATAACATATTTGATTGCATTCTATATTATACGATTCCAAGAATCTATAAGTCTTTTGCTTTCTCAAGCACAACTGCATCTCTGCAATCTCTGCATTTGTATAATTATGTACGCAATTATCTCAGTTCTATATTTTTCAACCTATTTTATTTATTCTGTTTGTTTTTCCTTAATTATGTATTTCTTCCACTCTGCGGAATATGAAAGAATTTCTCTTAACTGAGATAATACAATTGTGCGAATCTTCTTTATATTCTTCGGCGGAAAAGAGTGGAAAATGGAGCGTTTAGTGATTGACGTACGTCTATAAGACCGTTAACATCCTACGCATCACGATAATACATATATGTAGATATACGCGCATGTAAAGACCTTTCGATCGCGATATAAGACCACGAGGGCGATAGTTATACAAACCACGGTCAATAGGTGCTTTGCGAATGCATTTTTTATGAAAACCGTCAAGCTCAAGCGCTAAACACGCCGCGAATCGTACAAACTCTGACCGAACTCCGAAATAACTCAAAAGATTTCTTTCTTATATAACGCAGCGGCTACTATAGAGACTATCGTTTGCTTTTCTTTCTTTATTTATAATATCGCAAACTACCGCTATCGCCGATAAATAACGTCGCACAACAAGCTGGATAATGCCACGTGGAAAGTATATCGTTTTACTATGGAGAACTTTTATCGATTCTATTACTAACGTTACAAACCCGAGAACGAGTGTTCGAGTATTGCGAGAAGCGAGTGCCCGTTACTTTATCGAACGCCGTTTGGCACTGCGACAAAATCAGCGCTATGCAGAAACATCGGAGACGCAAACATGATGTACATAGATCTCCGTTAAAATTCCGCAAATTCCTCACATGTGCTCCTGCCCCCGAACGTTTATCCGCGTTAATCGATTTATTCCATTATCAGACTTTTCGTCAACAAACAATTCATGATTCTTGATGAAATCGGCCTTTATATCGCCGTTGAATGTAATCCGAAGTTGAATACGTATAGTCAAATAATTCTGGCAATTTCCAAACGCTCTGACTTCAGGGCGCATTTCGCAGAGTCGTGTATTTATTGGCTCTCGCCAATCGACATAGCTGTGTGAAAAAATTATCTTCATCCAGTAGATAAATTTACGACACAATTTTTATTTTTATTGCAAACCCGTGGAAGCTTGGAGCGCATCGCGCGCGGTTTGAGAAACGCTGCTCCGTATAAGCCACCCTAATCATCCAAGCGTAAATCTCTGGTAATTAATACCGCTTTGCCCTTCATTATGCTTGTGAGAACGCGAACGCGCGTAACCTGTTCTTAACAGCCTGTAACGAATTACACAGTGAAGTGTCCGCGTCTCCTACGCAACGTGTAACTTTCGATACATTTCATAAATCAATATTCTTTCTAAAATTAAACGATTTATTGTTTCGCTTCAACTTATCTTTATTAATTAAATCTAGTGGATATATAAGGTATATTATTATCTTCGAGCATCGATGGTTGAAATTTAAAAAAGGTACTCATGTCTAGAACGGCGGAAGTGTTTACCGCGATGATAAACTGGCGAAATTAAAACGATATTTTTATTGAATGCTGACTAATAATCAAGTGATGCGCGTGCTCTCTCTCTCTCTCTCTCTCTCTCTATTCTTGGCGCGAGTATCGACATAAATATATAGACGGCAAAAGCCGCCGCAGTCGTAGATATTTCTGTCAGCTCATCGAATCAAAGCTTTGGAGCCATGTGCCAGGGCACGTGGTGTGCCATCTCCATCACAAAACCATTAGCTGCACGCTGTTAAATTATTGTATTCGGAAGATACATCGATTCATTATATTTAAATATTTTGCATATATTATAAAATGATAACAGAATCGCTTTTAACTATAATAGATCGATATACTTTCTGAAAATAAGAATAATCTCTCTTTACCTCTCTTGTTAATTTGTTCTATGGATTTCTATTTTCTGGTCTTCGTCTGAATGCAGGGCGATCACGTGCCAGAACACGTTGGACCACCGGTGGCTTGCTGTTGCGTCAAGCTCGTCGACGTTCCGGAGATGGAGTACTACGCGACCAACAACCAGGGTGAAGTGTGCGTCAAGGGTACTAACGTCTTCATGGGATATTACAAGGATCCGGAAAAAACTGTCGAGGTGATCGACGAACAGGGATGGCATCACACAGGGGATATCGGCATGTGGCAGCCTGTAAGCAATTAAATTTATCGCGATTACATCCATAATAACCGTATATTGTTGGCAATGTATCTTTAGATCTTTCCTTGTAAAAATTTAATACTGGAAGGTAGTGATTATTTATTTTGAATATTAAAAGCACTGAAAACACTGCTTTTAATACTCCAAATAAATAATTTTCAGTATTAAACTGAATTTCTGTTAGGGTTTATAAATGATCTATATTTTAAGTAGGTACAAAATCAGATAACTGGGATTTTTTTTTTAATATATAATTTTAATAAGTTTTTAATATTATATAAATAATTTTTATACTTATATTTATATACTGAATTGCTTCCAGAATGGAACATTAAAGATAATCGACCGGAAGAAGCATATCTTCAAGCTGTCGCAAGGAGAGTACATCGTGCCGGAAAAAATCGAAAACATTTACATACGCAGTCAGTATGTACAACAAGTATTCGTCCACGGAGAATCATTGAAGTCCTGTATCATAGCAATAGTAGTACCAGACGTAGACGTAATCAAGTGCTGGGCGGTGGAAAATGGCATACCCGGTACACTGAGCGTTCTATGCGCCAATTCAGAAGTCAAAAAACTTATCTTGGACGACATGTTAGCGTGGGGAAAAGAAGCCGGTCTGAAATCCTTTGAACAGGTATTTTGTCGTCCCTTATTTCTTTTTCTTTTTTACCTGAAAAATTCAGACATCAAATTCATTTAATCTAATTTAATTTAGTAGGAGATAAAAACGTGTTAAACGCGGAAAAATATGAAACATAGAAGAGATAATTTGAGAATTTAATAGACGCCTGATTATCTGCTCCGTAGGTTAAGGATCTCTACCTCCATCCAGACCCGTTCTCCGTACAAAATGGGCTTTTAACACCAACGCTGAAATCGAAACGGCCTCAACTGAAAGCGTACTTCAAACCGCAGATAGAGGATCTCTATCAACAATTGGACTGACCAGACTGAGCGACTGTGCTATCGCTCGTCCGCACCAGCACTAAACGTGAAGGAAAACGTTCGATGGTAGAGATGGAAGCAAAGCGCCTTTCCTCGCCGCTGTTCTCTCACCGAAATCACTATTGTCATCGAATATTCGTTAATATCCTCGAGATACTTTTATTATCATTTTCACAGGTACATTAGGGAACGCAGACGGAGAAAAAAAGCACCGTTTAGGCTACTTAAGGTAAATGATAACATAACAAGTAATAAAAGGAGTTATTATTAGGCGCGTCTAGTTTCTCTCTTTCTCTCAATTACAAGCATCCTTTGGAATATTTTTTCGGTGATGAATGTATTTACAATTCGATCCTTACCCACGCATTACTTCAATAATGTAACACAGTGACTGTTGTTATTCTCATTGTAAGAGATGAATTATAGAATGCATTTTTAACCGGTAGAGTGAACCGTCGCAGTGAACTCACCCGATTACGGCTCAGGTCAAAATTACAACAATTACACAGTAGTTTGTTAACTTCGAACAGGTAATATATCCTCGAGTATTACCCGGAAGAGGTAATATTTCAGTGTGCGCCGATAATTTCGGCGCACGTCGAAGAACCTTGAATTATTATTTAATAAATACATTTCTTGTTGAATATATTTTGTGTGGTTCGGAATATCTTCAGAACTTGACGCAGGGCAATGTTAACCGCTGATCAAGATTCTCGGATAACAGCATTCAAACGGTTTTACGATTCCTTTCCAGTTTACTTGTGAAAATAATTCATTTGGTAATCATTCACTGGTTCAATACAGTTTTCAGTTTTAATTAACTTCGTACAAAATGGACAAGAATCGTAAAACCGTTTTAAAATTCACCTTATGAAAATGGGTCAATATTTTTTTATACAAGACTTTACATAACAATTAAACGGATTCTTTTGTTCTTGTTTCGTGACATTTTGCCAGTTTTGCTTGCTCGCTCGCTTGAGACATTGGTTTTGTATAAGAGATCATGGTTCAGTCGTCCGATGCTGGTCAAATCGATGGGAGAATACGGGAAAGAGACCAGTAATCTGTAGCAAAATGTGACAAACAAGTTCGAAAGTTTGCTAGACGATATAATACAGAATTACCTCGCAATTTGATAGAAATAACATTTTGAAGTCTCTGATAATAAATACGACTTCCAAACCACATCTTGGTGGATCTGACCGAAGAAAAAAAATGTCTGTTCTTTAACTCTTAAAACTATAGTATATCACAATGCACGCGACAATTATAAGTACTAATGCTACTCCTGCCAAAATAATTCTCTGTTGAAGGCTTCGAAAGATCATTCCCGATAACAATCGAGACCCTCGTCCCAACTCCGCATCTGTTTCGCGTAACTAAACAAAAAGCATTAGTGATTTTATGCTCTTTTTTTTTTAAATGCAATTCGCGTAAATCACAAGTAGTCATATAAGTAACTTACCCTCCCTCTGCCTCGCTGTATCGTTTCCCGCTGATCATGAAGCTCCTTCAGCACATGAGAGCCAATCTCCTCAGTTTCCAATGCCATGCGATAACCATTCTGTAACGTTCGCCCCGACCGTTCTATTCTTTCAGAGGCGTCCAGCAGTCTTTTTCTTTGGTCTTCCGTCACATTATTATCCCATGACTCCTCCACCGTGATCTCCGTAACGTCCTCCTTTGGTTTCTTTGCTGTTTGAAATTCTTGCGTCAGGCGTTTCAGTTCGGCTCTGTGGCTCTCTACGCGACCACGCAGACGATCGCGTGCCGTTCCGTTCATCCCACGAACCTCCAGTTCCATTTGCTCCAGCTGCAAATTATAAATAATTTGGTTAGACAAATGTTTTATCATGGATCACTTCAAATGAAGACGAAACATATTTTGAGATATGATTGTTCCTGATTCTCTGTCAGTCTTTTGCTTTTTAGAATTTATAAATTTTAAATATCATCTCTTGGTTACTTTAATTGAAATCAATTTTTCCTTTTAATAAATGTAATTTTTTCATAACTTTTTAACTTTTAAAATGTTTGAGTAGCAAATTTAAATAAATTTAAATCTTGTACAAATTTATTTAAAATTAAGTTAAAGATGAAATATTGTATATATGTATTTGTGAAATTCGAAAAGGTTTCAAAATTTTTAATGGATGGAAGGAACAACTGAAGAACAATTATTCCATGTTAAGAAAAATAGATAATAAATTCACGTATAATAATAAGTGCAAGAGTCGGGAACAGTAAGATTTTTGTAGATTACTAAAATCTTTTTAAATGTTCTCTATCATGACAGAGATAATCTCAGGTTTAACTATTCATGAATGCATTATTCTATTAACAAGGTTAATATCTTAATCAATATTCATATGGATCCGACTGAATTTGATATGTATCCACTTCCATAATGTGTTGTATCTTGATTTTTTTTATGAAAAGAACTGGGCGTGTATTTATACATACGTGGAACTGTTCGGAATGTATTTCGATCGAAATTCTTCCGTTTTCCTTTAAAAAAAACACACACAATAGAAATTCAGAGAATAATTGGACAATTTCGATCGTAATTCATTGCGAACGGTTCAATAATATACGCGTCCTGGACGCGGATAGCAAAACGCAGGTTTTTCTAACCCTGCGTCATACAATCGAGCGTACGACGGACCGAGATCCGGCGACACCCAGTTCGCCGCCGCTCCAATTAGGGTAAACACGCAAATTTAATTACCAGCTCTTGCGCCTCCTCAATTTGCCGGTCCACATCCTGGATGAAAGCCCTTTTCTCACCTACAAATTACGTCACTTATATATTGATTATCGCTCTTTAACGCCGACACCTCGGCGACGGCCGCGTTGCCGGTCGGGTTGCCGCGCGAGACGCGCGACATCCCTTCGACCGCCGTCTTCCCGACGATGTCTCTTACCGCCGCTCTGGATCCTAATCCGGCCGATTTTTGCGGTGATGTCAGCTGTCAGAACGGCGTACTGCTGCTCGTAGTTGTCAACGAGCGACGCCATCTTGGACACGGGTGTGCGCCATCGACTATCGACGCGAGCCAGTTGGCGACTGGAGAGAATCGAGAATCGCCGCGAGGCGGTGATTACAAGGCGGTATCGCAACCGAGGGGGGAGAAAAAATAAGAGACGAGATCACTTTTCTCCACCGCGCGATCGTTTTTTGTGCGCGAAAACGTCATAAACTCATTGACTTGTGAACTGGGTCAACTCAGTTTACGCTCTTTTTTTTCAGACATTTATGCTCGAGAAAATTGCTCTGGAAACTACAAAAAAAATGAGATCAGAGATCAAACGCGTAGTTATTTATATACATGCGATATCTGATCGTTATTTAAGTATTTATTTCGCAATTGTGACAATTATTCTGGCAAATAGCCAACAATTAATTCTTCCTCCAGCTCCTCTCAGAAAATATAATGTTCAAGCGCACGTAAACTATATGTATATGATTTTTAATATTACATTTTGGTACATTTCGGAATGCGTATTCGAATCGAGATGAAGCGAGATCCTCGAAATCTGAGCCACGAAAGCGACACGTCACTGTTCGCGGGCCAATTGCGCTGCCGAAATCACGCCGCGTCCCTCCAATGATCGGCCGTCGTTAGATGTGCGGTGAGCGCTCGCCTCGCGTGCACTTTCGCATGCTTTCGCAGCGTCAGAGAGAAGCGTGAGAGCGGCCACGCCGGCTTCTTTTGGGTGGGACCGGCGATCTCCTCCGGACACTAGCGCCCCACGTCCACGTTTTTAAAAAAGAAACTACATATCACGTCTATCTTATAAGCTTATAACATTGTCAAATCATAGCACGAGAACGTGGATGTGGTCCGTGCTAATTATGCTACGTGCACAAATTGAAAATAAATAAATGACTTTTATTTTACGATGTTTCTGATGAAATGACATTCCAATTCATGTCTGTACTACATCCACAAATTGTAGGTAAAGAATGTGGCATATATAATGCACGATTAGCACAGATACAAACCACGTCCACGTGCCTAGTCAGCGCGCCTCGTCAGAGACTCGAAAACTCCCACCAATACGCGAAAAACATGTTGAGCAAAGAGGTGGCACGGAATCCTAACCAGCGCGCGTATCGACAGAGGCTTGTTGGTAAGGTGAAAAACTGCTGAGCGAAGAGGCACGGAATCCTAGACAGCGGGCCTCGTCAAAAGCTCGAAAACTCCCGCCGATATGCGGAGAACACGTTGAGCGAAGAGGTGACACGGAATCCTATTAATCCTAGCCAGCGCGCCTCGATATAGAGGCTGAAAAACTCTCGCCGATACGCGGAGAACACGTTGAGCGAAGAGGTGGCACGGAATCCTACTAATCCTAGCCAGCGCGCCTCGATATAGAGACTGAAAAACTCTCGCCGATACGCGGAGAACACGTTGAGCGAAGAGGTGGCACGGAATCCTAGCCAGCGCGCGTATCGACAGAGGCTTGTTGGTAAGGTGAAAAACTGCTGAGCGAAGAGGCACGGAATCCTGGACAGCGGGCCTCGTCAGAAGCTCGAAAACTCCCGCCGATACGCGGAGAACACGTTGAG